AGGATGGTCCTGCACACTTGACAGAGCTGCTGCAGACAGTACATGCATAAGCAAGGGAGTGAGCAGGTGCTCACCATGCACAGGCTGCCAGAACTGTTTTCTTGAAGACTCCAATTTATACTGTGAACATCAGTCACTGTTCCGTGCCTGCTTTCTGCTTATCTTCTTCACCGGGAGATGTCCAGAAAGCGGAGCTGACCATTATTTTGACTTCCTGTGAAATCTCTCCTTCCTGCCCCCACGATAACCCAGAGGGAACGTAAGAACATGGAAAAAAAGCTTGATCTAGTTCTCAGCTGCTCTTTTTTCTACCAAGATGCCAGAAGAAACCCCTAGAACAAAATCTCCAGCAGGCAATAACGGCACTGGGAAAGTGTGGGTCCGCTGGCTGTGAACGCAACACACAGCAGTAGTCCTGCAGTTGAGCACACCTGCGGAGGAGCCCATGAGACTGGCTTGAGTGGGTGTGGTGGTGCACTAATGGAACCCCAGCACTTGGAAGGCACAAACAGGAGGACTGTTGAGTTTGAGGCTAGCCTGGGCTACTGTTTCTAGGGGGAAAAAACTGGGTTTGAATCCAAGCCATACCACTTAACTACTTCTATAACTGGGGGCAAGTCAATCAACTTCTCTCAGCCTTCTTTTTCCAAACATGAAGTGGGGATAGTATTTTTGCTCTTTCAGATGGTAAGCCAAGAATAAAAAGCAGAGGCATTTCCTCCTTCTTTTCTTGTACTGGTGATTGAACTCAGGCCTGCTGCAGTGAGCTACAACCCATCCTTTAATATTTTTTATACATTTTAATTTGAGACAGGGTCTCACTAAATCACTAGTTCATATAGGCTGGTCTTGAAGTTGGAGTCCTCTTGCCCTCCAGCTTCCAGAGGGCTACGATTATAGACATGCATCACCAATGCTGGTTTTCAGAACTTTCATTCTTATTGCTTCATGACCTCTTGCTTTAGGTAACAAGGGTAGTGACAGCCCTAGAACATGCAAAAACAACAAACCCTACTCAGTCACTGATAATGGTCCTTCAGAAAAGAACAATGATCTGTCTTGCTCCCGGACTCGAGAACCACAGCCAAAGAATCATTCAACCATAACTGCCTACAACAGGTGTTGTAACAGGAGATGGGGCAGATCTGTGCATATTACCACCAGCTCCTGGCTTTTGAGGCAGAATTCAGCTTTCACTCCTTGCAGCCCTTGGGTGGCAGATGGGTGGGCGGGTAGGCCTTCTGCAGGCTTCTCAGCTGCAGGAAGTCTCTGGTGGTTAAAACCGTGGGTGGAACCTAGGAGAAAGCTTATGCAGAACTGCACATAGTTCAGTTGTTGTTAGTTGCTTCTTAAAGGGATCAGGGGAAAGGAGGCTGCTGCCTCTTAACTGTAAATCAGATTCATGCCAGCCAAAATGAGGGCGTGTCTGAAGAGGGGGAGGAAGACAGAGGAGGAGGGAGAGGAAGAAAAATGTAAGAAGGAGAGAGAGGGGATGAGGACAGAGAAACTGGGGAGAAAGAAGGAGGCATACAGTGGAGCAGAAAGGACAGGGAAAGGGGAATGAGGCAGACAAAGGGGAGGACAAGAGAAGGAGAAACAGAAGATGTGGGGCACCATGGTCATTAAAAGGAGAGGCGAGAAGAAATGCTCAGCGCTTCACAGATACACAGAATTCCTAGGTCTAGAAAAGTAATTCGAAGAGTGAGGTGAGCTTATAGGCAATGGCATGGGCAGGGCAGGGAGGCTTCAGTCTGGGGTGTGTGTGGGGCTCACATTTCAGACCCTCCTTCCTCAGTCACCCTGCCAAAGAAAGGGCAGAGCCAGCCAGGAACTGCCCAGGTGATCACCGGTCATTCAGGCAAGGCTCCTATTGTATGCCACCACTATCCCAAGCAGTAGCAAAGTCACAGGAAATAAAACACAAAACTATTCATCCTTATGAAATAGTGGCCTAAATCACTATAGTGAAGGAACCGGAGACAATGCGCCCTGCTCCATCACTGGTTAACTCGGATAACCCACTTCCTCACTCTGGCCTCAGTGCACTTGTGTATAAAACAGAAACAATAAAATGCCAGACATGGTGGTGCTTGCCTGTAATCTGAGAGACTTAAGAGATGGAAGCAAGACGTTGGCAAGTTCAAGGTCAACCTGGGCAATTAAGCAAGAAAAATAAAATCTTTGAATGGCTGGGGATCTAGCTCGGTAGTAGAGTGTGAGGCCTTGGGTTCCACCACCATTTCCACAATAAGCAAATAAAATAGGAACAGCGATCCTTGACTAGCGAAGAGGGTTTAAGGAGATTCCAAGGAGAATGTGGTGTGTGAGTTCTCTGTGCTGTACACACGAGAGGGGAGGGGATCCCCCTCTCAGCGGTCTTGTTCTTGAGTCCCCAGCAATCACCACAGGGTCTAATCCAATCCCCTCAATGCTTAATGAATGGTCAGTGGCAACAGGGCCTGGTAGATGTTCACAGAGAGGTAACGGCTTTATCCTTCACCCTGCAAGTATGTTGCTGAAAAGCACCAGACATGGGATTCAAGGGAGCCAGACAGCAGCCTAGGGACGGCAAGCCTGAGGCCCAATTCTGAGTCAGCCCTCCAGTGTGAGGCACTGGAATCTCTTTCTGGAAGACACTTGGGAGTGAGGAGGGTATGAGAGCAAATTAGTCTGGGAAACTTGGCACAGTCCAGTTGCCTCGGTGAGATCCTCACTGCTCATCACCAAGGCCAAGCTTCAGAAAGATCTGCTCCAAGAACCCCGCTTACCAACTTTGATCATGATATTTCCTCTCCTTTTGGAGGAATACCGATCATGCTAATCAGCTTTCCATTAGTCTAACGAATGCCTGAGATAATTAACTTATGAAGAGAAAAGGTTTATTGTGGCTCACATTTTGGAAGTTCCAGTTGACATCAGCTGGCTTTGTTGCTCTAGGCCTGGGGTGAGGCAGCATATCAAGACAGAAGTATATGCCGGGTGTGGTGGCTCACGTCTGTAATCCCAGCACTCGGGAGGCTGAGGCAGGAGGATCTCTATGAGTTCGAGACCAGCCTGGACTACATAGTTCCAGGTCAGTCTCAACTACATAGTGAGACCC